TATGACACAAAAGGTGGCAATCAAAAAAATGGGTGACATCACCGTGATCCCCTCATTCATCCACCTACGTAGCCTCTGCCTCAGGAGCTTGGGTAGAAAAAGAGCAAAGGAGAACATGAGAAAAACTGCAAGAACAGAGCCAATAGTAAGTGAATAGTTTCTTAAAGAAATAACATCAGTTTTGGTAATATACTTATATAATTTAGTCATTGTGCTCTTTTTTATCTGCTCTATGTGATTGCCTCTGTTTGAAATGTGCTACATCAGAGGTTCCTAAACCTTTCAGACCATGTATCACTATGTACCAAACCAAATTTCCAAAGTGCAACTTTCTACTGCAGATATGATTTTTTCATACAATAAAAATAACTGTATCACCCATGCAACAGCATCAGCAAGGCTAAACAACATCAACAAAATGCTACTTTATTAAAATAAAAAATAGCCTACATTTATAAAGTGCACTCACAAAAGTCACTCATCAGGGGGACAGACTACATTCAGCCAGTTTCTCCTTCTATTTCTTCTCCTGCATGTTACAATCATACTTACTTTACCTCACTTCACACACACACACACACACACACACACACACACACACACACACACACACACACACACACACACACAGTCAAGTCTACTGCCAGCTCACACAAAATAAATAAGTTCATACACAACATATCATTTGACGTGGCCGCTGGTCTCCTCTTCTCTTCTTTTTGCCGCCTCTAGATTGTTGTTGTTGATGCTGCTGTGTCTGGTCGTGCTTCCTGATAACGTCCGTAAGTCATATGATGTCTTCTCTGGCGATGCGTTTACTGACTACCGTAATAACTGGTGTTTGAGTCTGCGCGCATTTTTCCCCCATTCAGTGTCAAAATCGGGGACATTTTCGGGGACAGCTTTTACCAGGGACAGGTCACCCAAATCGCGGGCCGTCCCCGGAAATCGGGGACGTCTGGTCACCGCAATGTTGACCCTTTAACAACTTCTGCTGAAATAAAGCAGCGCTGTGTAACTTCTGAAAGATGAAATAGCACATCAATTCTTTCACAAATTTCAAGTTGAACGCTTAAGCAATAAAACACACCCGTTAAGTTTAATACAGTCAGGAGTTTTACTGCTACGGCCTTACTTGGTCTGGTATGACAAGGAGTTTACAGTGGCTAATGTTAGCAAACGTTTAATAAATATTCTTGTGCAACTGTGCAACCGGTTTGCCTCTTTTTTAACTTCCTGTTGTTTCTGTTCTTTCAATACATTTTAACAGCAAAGTTCAAAGTCATTTATAGTCAACTATACAACAATTACAAGAGCAGTCGTCACAGGTGCCAGCTTGGGTTTATTATTGGGGGAGGGGCAAAAATGTAGGTGACATCTGCTGACATCACGTCAGAGATTGCAAGCTGTGACTGAGTTGGGGCTTTTTTTGGTAATTATCGCTATAATAGCTTGCAGGTGCTGGGAAGGGTTCTTCAAACATGTAAATATCAACACTCCTGTTGTCTGGTGTGCCTTAGTACTATCAATACTGTCAAATCACTATTACGCAAAGCAGATCCCTTGGTTATATTTTTTGCAACCAGCATCAGACTGTTGAAAAATAACCACGGACCCCTCGTGCTCAATGTGTGCATTAAACACGTTATTTTGACAAATAATTCTCCACAGTTTATTCTGCATATCAACGGGCATGTTGGAGACAGGATGCATTTAAAACAGTTCACACACCTACACAAAATACTTCTCCCTCTGCATATAACTCAGAACTGTCTTTTCCTGTCAGTCTTTCACCCAGGTGAATCCATCCAAAAAACCATTTAAGCGGCGTAATGGCTGTGTGTCATCTTTTTTTTAAATGAGACTGGCCAAAATGTCACCCGGAGCTCCATATTTTTAGTTTTAATACAGGTGAATGGGAGGCTATGATGGGCAAAATGATGTGATAGAGATTGTATGGGTTTCAAACTAAAGTCTTAAAAACAAATTCCAATCCACATCCCACACAATGACAAGTTTCCTCTGAGGAAAACTCTGTGCAGGGTTCCCAAACTGTCAGTGCCTCATGATGGGGAGAGCTCAGTGATTAAAAGGGGAGAAAGCAGTGAATATAACAAGCCATGATTGTCACAGCTTTTAATGCACCCACCTATAATGATGCCTTCTTTCTGATCCAACCCTGCGTCCAAATGTGCAACAGGTGCGCCAAGGGAGCCTGACCACAGGCGTGCACCCAGCCCAATTGGCAGAGTGCACCTGACTGCAATCTGGCTGCGCCGCCTGGTTCACAATAGTCGAGCCCATTGTGTCTTCTTGTGTGCACAGAAAGTGTGTGTGTGTGTGTGTGTGTGTGTGTGTGTGTGTGTGTGTGTGTGTGTGNGGGGGGGGGGGGGGGGGGGGGGGGGGGGGGGGTTGCTGTTCATGATTCAATTTGCTTCGTGTCCACTGTTGTTTAAGATCACCTGATTGTTCATCCACCTGTATGTTTTGCATTCTTATGTGTTCACTCATGCCTCTTTATGTGTTTTTACTTGCTGTACAACCAATTGCCCTCCAAGGACAAAAATAAAGTGTACGTTGAAGTTGAAAGTAGTGCAAATTTAAATAAATGATAAAATATAACAGATAAATATGAAGTACAGTGATATAAATCTGTAGCTGAATGAAAAGATGGAATGCAACAGGAATGTAGTCTCTTGGGGAAACATGAATATGCATAACAAGTGACTATTTACCATTATGTAATTGTCACTGGTGGCCACAGTGGCTGCTATTCAGCAAAAATTACATAAAATTGCTTTAGATATAATATTTAGAGAAAAAAAGGTTTTCTGCCTAGCCAAACAGTTTACCTGTTACTGCAGACTATACTACTGAGTGGATAAACTGGTATTATTGAATGAAACTGCCCAAACAGCAAAAGTATTGGAAAGCAAACAAAGTTTTTATAAGGATGTCATATGCTGTATTTTGTTTTCAAAAAGCAAGATTAATGAGAAGCCAAAGAAAAAGAAGAAAGAAAATACAATTTGGGGGATTTGTTTCTGCAGTGGCCTCTGCAGATTAGAGAGCAAGCGCTAATGCTCCCATTTTTACAACCATGGCTTGCCTCCCTTTCGCAAAAGATCTTAATTTAATTTAGGATGATCCAGTAATCACACCTTGTGTTCAATTTCCCCTCTTTTCTCTTGCAGAATCACTGCTCAAAAGAATTTTAATTTACACATGAAGGTTTTTAGAGGAAAATCCTTAATACATTGATCCAAAGTGTCATTTCATGTTGTGTTGTATAATTGATTTAATGCAGCTTCTTAACATTGGCCTGCCTCAGTTGTGTCTGACAGTCCTCAGGTTAATGGTGTGAAAACAGGGACCCTGCTTTCCCCAACCTGTCAAGTGGTAATTGGCCAACAGTTTCCTGAAATTGCAGTCTGCCACAGGGACTGCAAACACCTCTTAAATTGTGTACAAAATAATTGGTGGGGAATGAACAAGGAGGGCAAGTGGTAAACATGAATCTCAGGCTCTGAATGCAACATTTCAATACCAACAAAAGCGATATACACTGTCGTTCAAAAGTTTGGAATCACCTGTTATATTTATGTTTTTCCTCTTCCCTTTGATGATAGCTATTTTAACAGGGTTTAAAAAGCTGTATAATTCAGACAATAAATGCTGTGATTACATCTGAAATAGTTTTGGCCCCAAAATAAGATGAATTTAATGATTAAAACTTAAATTCAGTCAAAGTCCCAACAGTGAGGCATGACAGAAGAAAATACTGTTGGAGCTTAAACTTGAGTTTTTTTCCACCCCAGAAAACTGTAAGTGACCCTATATCATTATTGAACCACTTTGATGCAATTGGGTTCTGAATATTTTGGGAAGCCATTATTCTTTGAGCTCTCTGCAGTGTACTTAGTGGTCAGACTGAACAGGTTTAAACTGTGAAGTGTCAGTCCAAAGTATGTTCAGGTGATATTCCCTGATCCAGTTCCAACAGTGCTACACCAACCTTCTGTTTCTATTGTTAAGTGTTGAGAATCGCTTTGCTAAAGCAGCACACCTGTTAATTCCCTTATTCCACCAAAATTAGTGGGTATATGCAGATTTTTTTTAAACGTGAAAAACCCACTTAAATGAGTTATAGACTGATTTCCCATTGCCAGTAGATCAGAACAGTATAAATGAGGCAGCAGTAGACAATCTGCCTTTCTATTTCTTTTTGGTATGTCACGTTCAACATCATGGACACACTGGAAAACAGGTTTCGTAAATATAAGAAAGTGAATAGAGACTAGTGAAAATGGTTCGGTGGTTCAAACTCTGTGCAGACTAATTTTGAACAATGTTTGAGCGCTGCTTGGGTAGACAGAATTAGGTGGCAGCATGCCATTGTATCAAATAAGCGCGTTCACCTGAGAGTCGTACTTCCAATCGGAGCCCATTGGAGCTGGATAAATTTCTAGAATTACTGCAGTCATCTGTCCCAGGAGTGAATGTCTTTTGTAACCTTTCCCATTACATGCAAAAGCCAGTTGTTAGCGGGTATTTTTTCTTTTTTTGTGCAATGGAAAAGGGGCTTTATAAGTATTATTGTGCACTTGACAGTAAAAAAAGGAACTCAATCCTACTTAAACCTTCACACATTTTGATGCCAAGCTTCCAGTTTCTTTTACCAATGTCTTACTGAACTGTTGTTCAGAAGTATCTTTGCCTCTGTCTGCCCTTTCAGTTGTCAGTCTGGTTGGATCATACAGCGTTTTGTTCTCCATATACAAAACAAACCCTTCATACAAAATAACATCTATTCGTAAAGAGTACTTTCTACAATCTAAATGCATGAAAGACCATTCAGAGGTATAGAGTTGTCCTCTCAGACATCTGACTGTACTGAATGAAGCTTTTGGCGTAGGCGATCCCAAGCTTTTAAACTGCATTGTACTTCTTATCCTGATAAAATGTAATTAATGTCAACTATGTGTTCTCGTCTTTTGCAGGTTATTCCTCCGTGCACATGAGAGCGACACAGAAAGGAAGACAGTGGCAGGAACAATAAGATGAGACCATTCAATGATGGTAACCTCTAAGGAGAAAAGCACAAGCCAACCTGAGGCGGTGAAATCTCTTTTAAGCTTCACCACAAGTTCACTGCAGGCAAACCTCAATGAAAGAAACTCAGTGTAAGGGCAGATTCTCAACTATTTTTTGATTGGTACATGGGGACAATACCATCCATCAATGAGGAGGAGACAAATAAAAGGATTGTTTCTGGCCCGGAACAGTTGAACATCCAGCTGATTTTCCAAAAGGATCATCTCAGCTGCACTGAAACCACAGCGGTATCACCCTCCTCATTTTTTTGGCCCTGCACATGACTCTCAGAGAAGCACCAATGGCCTGCAGCTTAGGCATGGTGATGAGTGCCTTGTTTTGGTCTGTAGCCACTGTATATTTGACTCATATTGGCAGAGTCAGCGGAGACTGCTGGTTAATTGAGGGTGAAAAGGGCTTTGTATGGCTTGCAATTTGTAGCCAAAACCAACCACCTTATGAGGCCATCCCACAGCATATCAACAGCACCATTGTGGACCTTCGTCTGAATGAAAACAAAATCAAAAGTATCCATTATTCTGCCCTTAGTCGCTTTGCCAACTTGACCTACCTGAACCTGACAAAGAATGAAATCTCCTACATAGAGGATGGGGCCTTTTCTGCTCAGTTTAACTTACAAGTCCTTCAGATGGGCTTCAACAAGTTGCGGAACCTGACAGAGGGGATCCTCAGGGGTTTAGGAAAGCTGCAGTACCTCTACCTCCAGGCAAACCTGATTGAGACTGTGACACCCAATGCCTTTTGGGAATGCCCCAACATTGAGAACATCGACCTCTCCATGAACCGGATCCAGCAATTAGATGGGTCCACGTTTACCAGTTTGACTAAACTGACCACCTGCGAGCTGTACACCAACCCTTTCAACTGCTCATGTGAATTACTTGGTTTTGTCAAATGGCTCTCAGTTTTCCCCAACAGGACGAATGAGCGAATGGTCTGCGACTCCCCACCTGGCGTCTCTGGTTATAGTTTACTGAGCCAGAATCCAAACAATCCAACATATCGAAATGCGCTCCACATGCTCACCACTGTGTGTACGGATGACTACGTGACACCATTTATTCCCATGCCCACTGAGCCCACGACGCCCCCACCCGACTCCACACTCTGTGGGCTGGAAGATTGTCCCTCAGGCACTGAACCAGAAGACATTACCATAAGTACAACCTACAATGATGTGGAAGTAAACCCTTTCATGAAACTGAAGCAAGTATCAAATACAGGTGCCACTATCACGGTTCAGATACCTTACCCCTACAAGAAGATGTACATCCTGGTTCTGTACAACAACAGCTTTTTCACAGATATTCAAAACCTGAAAGATATAAAGGAGGACATTGAACTGAAAAACCTTAAACCCCACACTAACTACACATACTGTGTCGCTTCAATACGTAATTCTCTTAGACACAATCACACTTGTCTGACAATCACTACTGGCCCTTGGAATGGAAAGGATAGAGTTGTAAACAACGCAACTGCTACTCACTACATTATGACAATTTTGGGCTGCCTCTTTAGCATGGTCATTTTCCTGGGTGTGGTCTACTATTGCTTGCGAAGAAAGCGACAGCAAGATGAGAAGCACAAAAAAGCAGGCAGCCTGAAGAAAAATATAATAGAACTCAAATATGGGCAAGAACTGGAGGGAGGGACTATATCTCGAATGTCACAGAAGCAGCTGTTGGCCGGAGAGAGCATGGCACGTATGCCATATTTACCATCTGCAGCTGAAATGGAGCAGTACAAATTTCAAGAGATAAGTGATACTCCTAAAATGATGAAAGGAAATTACATGGAGGTGCGAAGCGTGGATCACCATGAACGCAGGGAGTGTGATATGGGAATGGCTGGGAATAGCCAGGGGTCAGTGGCAGAGATTTCCACCATTGCAAAAGAGGTAGATAAAGTCAATCAGATAATTAACAACTGCATAGATGCTCTTAAGTCAGAATCCACCTCTTTTCAAGGGAAATCTGGAGCAGTGTCCACTGCAGAGCCCCAGCTCGTACTAATATCAGAACATCCACAGAGTAAATCTGGCCTTCTGTCCCCAGTGTATAAGGACAGCTATCACCACTCTCTGCAGAGGCATCGGTCCTCTGATGCCTCGCCAAAGAGGCCCAGCACTGCCACTGGAGGGCCCATGCGAAGCCCCAGGCCTTATCGCTCTGAATCTAAGTACATAGAGAAAACCTCCCCAACAGGAGAGACCATCCTCACTGTAACACCTGCTGCCGCCATCCTGAGGGCTGAGGCAGAGAAGATCCGTCAGTACAGTGACCACAGGCACTCATATCCCGACGCCCAGATAGAGGAGCTTGAAGGACCTGAAAGCCACAAGTCCTCCATGCTGGAGCCTCTCACTCACTCCCGCTCCAGAGACTTAGCGTATTCCCAGCTGTCATCTCAGTATCATAATCTAAGCTACTCCTCCAGTCCTGAATACTACTGCAAACCTTCACACAGCATCTGGGAGCGATTCAAGCTCCACCGGAAGCGGCACAAAGATGAGGAGTACATGGCTGCGGGCCATGCACTGCGTAAGAAAGTCCAGTTTGCAAAGGATGAGGACCTGCATGATATTTTAGACTACTGGAAAGGTGTATCATCCCAACAGAAATCATAACCTCTCTAGGTGTTTTTAAAATGGACCACACATTGCAGAAATGACACAAGAACCTCATCTGACAATTGAATCAATGGATACTTCCATATTATAATCAACTACTCACTCACGTGTATCACATTCTCTTTTGACTGTGAGGAAAATGGGGTAAAGAGTCTTTAAATTTGTCATATTATGTAAAGCATTCATCGGGAAAACTTTTATCTATTAAAGAGAAAATATATTGCAAATTAATAATATATATGTTACAATGGATTATAGGTTTTTGGGTATCGCATGGCCAAGTCCTGTGACAGTGGATTTGCTGTTGTGTAATATGAAACTATTATATGAAGATATGTCTACCGAAGCCTCAATATTTTTTTGAGGAACTATCTGGACCCTTCATTCAAAAAGAACTTTTGTTTTTCTCCCTCCCTGCATATATTTAATTCAACGAAACTATGTACAGATATGGGTATCTATATTTGCAATGTTTGCTGTGTAAATGGATAAGTATTAGTGGATGAATCAGGTTTATCAAATGGAGCGCTGTTCATTTAGAATAACTTGTTGCTGAAAAACAGCCACTTTGTCATTTTAACCGTCACCGCCTGCTTTTTTAAAAAAAATAAAATAAAATCGTTTATTTCTTTTTTTAAAGCTTTTACATGCGTTTAAAAGATACAGACAACTTCATTTTAATGTCCCCTTAATCACACAACGCAGTACTCACTGGATGAAATCTGATAGACTTCATGCAGGCAAGATGCAGTATATTACATGCTGTAATGAAAGTCTCAATCATCAGTTTCATGAACCATCATTTGTATCTTTAGTACCAAAGTAGAAAAAGCTGAAATGTTTACAATATTTCTGCACGGTCTGGGAATCGTACAAACATACAGCAGTAGGTCCATGTTGACTCTCTTTCCTTTTTTTATTGTATCGGTTACTAAGTGAAACATTGGGAAACAATAATATCCACATGCAGGATATGGTATTGAAAGCCTACTATTAATCACTAACATTCAAAAGGGAAGGCAGCTGTACTTTGTCACCTGTTGTTTAGGTACAGACAGCTGTTCTTCCCTGCAAGAGAGCCCGATGGATGAATGTAACAGATACATATTCTGATCTGTCTATGGCAGCTTTTATGTGAGGAAATATTTATTTAATGCTATTAACGACTGTGTTTTTTCCTTTGCTAATATTTCTTCCAGTGTATTATATTGCATAATGTCTGATCCGATAAAGCAGGAAAGTAGTTTGTTGTTCAGATGGGCCTTGTTGCTTGCTGAGAGGTTTCATTTGATTTTTAACTGCTAGGCTGTTAAATCTTTTTGTATATTATGAAAGCTACGTACCAGACGAATATCAACGTGCTAGAGTAAAATTTGAGAATGTGAAACTGAATCCTCTGACTTACTGGCTGTGAATTTGTATATCATGAAATTTTTTGAGTAAATATTAACGCTTTTCTCTTTGTAAGACGTTTATATAACTTATTCCAAATGGGCTCATGATGATTCATTGCATATTCATGAATGAGCAATAAATTTGTATTTGTACACTCACACTTATTTAAGACTTGTAATACTGTAAGTCCTAATGTCAAAATTAGAGAACAGCAGGTTAAACAGTTGAGTCATACATTTCTGAGGTTGCAAGAGATATTAAAAAAATCATAGATTCTGAATTGTAAATTCTTAATTTGAGTTAACAAAATTAACAATTTTCCCAAGCAGCAGCAGGTTTTCTTTTTTACTTTCGTGTTCTCATTTGTCAAATTTCCATCCAAATTTAGCAAAAATTAACCTAATTACCAGAAAAATCTTCAAAAGAAAATTCCATTTAGCCCATGTATTCATCCACGACTGATGAGCCAATATTAGATCACACTAACAGTTGGTGGTACTAAATCTCCAGACAAGAGCCATTAAACCAGGGGTGTCATACATGCAGCACACTAAAGGATCCAATCCAGACCTCTGGATGACTTTGCATATCTAATATTGATGCATTTGTGAAGTCTAACACCACTTTCTAACATACAGCAAACAGGCAAACTCTGGCAGATGGAGCATAAAAGGGGCGACTGTGGCTCAGGGGTCGAGCGGGCCGTCCACTAAACAGAAGATTAGCAGTTCAGTCCCTGGCTCCTCCAGTCCTCATGTCTAAGTATCCTTGGGCAAGATACTGAACCCCAAATTGCTCCCAATGGCTGTTCCATCGGTGTGTGAGTGTGTGTGAATGGGTGAATGTGACATGTAGTGTAAACGTGCTTTCGGCGGTCGAAAGACTAGAAAAGTGCTGTACAAGGTATAAGTGCAGTCCATGTACCATTAATCATTTAAAAACTGTCCAGATAATACTACAACTAGCAGAATACTGTTCTTTGAAAAAAATAATAAATAGGCTACTGACTATGGTCATATTTAAAGATAATAAACACTGTGCAAAACAGTGTCAATCAGCGGCTTTGATACAAAATGTTCTTGATTTGTAAATGGTTTGTAAGGCAAGAGATAACCTAACCTCCTCCCTTAATAGCTACCACTTTAGTTTGACATGGTTACACTACTATATAGGAATGGAACTGCATGGAAAACTGCACATGTAATGACAGTGATTAGTAGACTGACTGAATGTGGAAAAACTGAGACACATTGCTGAAATGGAAACATCATCAGAATGTACTTGTACTTCTTTATACTAAAAGAAATCGAACAATTTGGAGGTGTTGTTATTTATAGATTATTATGCAACGGGTTTACTGGTCCAACCCACTAGAGATCAAATTGGGCTGTACAGTACGTGGCCCATGAACTAAAATGAATTTGACACCCCTGCATTAAACTCTTGCATAAGACCAGAGGGTGCAACTAGATGACATAATTAAAAGAACATTTCCCCTCAGGTTTTATACTGTCCAAAGTGAAGTGCATTTAAAAAACAGGTGGACAGAGACACTCTTATTATCATCCTTGATTAATAAATTCATATAAAACCAATTAGTACTTTATTATGTTGCATAAAGCTGCTACCCTAATATGACTTTGTCCGGAATCTGTGGTGCTTTAAATAAAACACATCCAGTATCTACAGATGAAAGATGATAATCCACTTTTTAGAGCTAAAATAATTCCAGAATTGGGCAAATCATTCTTTTTAATTTTATTTCTTGCTGCATTTTCCCAAATAAAGCCAGTTTTGGTCACATGGCATATTTTGCACATTAAAAAAAGGTGCAGTCCTTTGCATGTAAATAAACAACAAATGCTTCAATATCCATGAATGAAAAAAGTAGGGCAAATATACTCTTTGTAGTTTGTGTTCATGTGAGGATCAGAATCTTCAATCTGATAGCAGAGCTGACCTGAGGGAGTGAATTTATCTGGTGACATTTTTTTTCCATCAACTCTTTTTTGTCACATTAGACATTGAGTATATAAGTATAACTGCAGGCATTGGTTAGCCCATTTGTATTTTTTTTTTGTGTCATAATGCTGCGTCCATTTCATCTAAGTGTGTCATGATGCTGATATTATTCATTGATGTGAAATGAAGCATTCATGAGCCTGATGTGAATTTGTTATGTAAGCACCTTATAAAGTGTTAACTTGGTTGTCTGACTTAATATTTCAACCGCCTTAAGATTTTGGGATATGTGTACAAGTGTAAATTTCCTTTTGTTTCATTTCAATGTTGATACTGTTGACAAGTCTCCATTTGTTGTTATTTTTATAAAAGCATTTCAGTATCTTCTGAGAGCTGTCAGGTTTCTAGTTCATTTAGCTATTTAGCAACATGTTTTTTATACTGCATATTGTAGCACTTCTGTGTCTAATAAGAGTGTTGATAAAACCTTTAGAAAGATCAACAGTTGTTGTTCAAGTGCATCAAAACAAACAAGAGCACAAAAATGTGTTTTTTTTTTTAATTTTATTTCTAAATACTATGTTATCTGCTTTCAGACAAAGTACTGTGAAATAAAGTTAAGGGTGCACATACAGTATACACCAGCATCTTTATTATGACTTCTGGCCAGAATCACTTAAAGGCTAACAGCCATTGACCACTGGATCTGGCTGCGGTGCCTTCAGGCTCCGTCTCAGCTGCCGATGACAATGTGCTGCCATCCCAGCCAGAGTGGAAATGTCCATCGACTCTGTGACATGACTGTCTTGCTCACTGCTCTTTTCACCATTCCGCCAGTTATGAGCTGGGTCTGTTTTTAGCCCCACCAATACTGGATTTTTTTTTTGGGCTGATACTGATATCAGTTTTTAAAAAATTAATAACAATGTATGACTTGATAGTAACATTTCAACAATCTTGATATGAATCTTTTACATTAGTGTTTTTTAAATTTCTACTAAGATACATAATGAGCAAACCATTTTAAAGTCAAACTAAAATTACCGCCCTGTGGTTGTATGCCTCTGTGCATCAGCCAAGTTTCATAAGTTTACATCCATGTTTGTAAAAATACAGATGCTCACAGTTTCGAGGCGGGCACCCAAAATTAGTGTTGTCAGTTGATTATTTGAGCACATCTTGAGTTCTGTTCCTAAGATATGATGCTGAGTAATGGCCAGAAAAGTGTTTAATGCAGAATATTATGTTTGCAAAGTGAAGTTGACCTTTGACCTTTTTGATATAAAATGTCCTCACTTCATTATCATATCCTATTAGACATTTGTGTGAAGTTTTGTCATAATTAGTATGAGAATTCTTGAGTTATGGCCCAAAACATGTTTTGTGAGGTCACATTAACCTTGACCTTTGACTACCAAATTCTGATCAGTTTGTTCTTCTTTCCAAGTGGACATTTGTATTGAATTTGACCAAATTCCCTTAAAGTGTTCTTGAGATATGGCATTCCCGAGAATGAGACAGATGCAAGCTCACAATGACCTTGACCTTTGACCGCCAAAATCAAATCAGTTCACTGCTGAGTCCAAGTGAATGTTTGTGCCAAATTTCAAAGAAAGTCCCTCAAGGCATTACTGAGATATTGTTCATGAGAATGAGACAGATGGAGGGTCACACTGACCTTGACCTTTGACCTACGGCCACCAAATTTGAATTAGTTCAATTTGAAGAAATTCCCTCAAGGCGTTCTTGACATATTGTGTTTAAGAGAATACAACAGACGGACAACTCGAAAACATTATGCCTGCGGCTACGGCTATCACCAGCATGGAGGCTTAAAACAACTTATCAGTGCTCTGTGGTGGAGAAACTATGTAATAGAGACGCTGTTACCAAATTAACTCAAACCTTTATATTATTTCTACACTTCATGCCTCCTTTCTGTTCATATTGACCCCTAGAGTGTATATGGATGTTTAAATTTATTGTCATTTTACTCTGTTTGCAGTTAGTCAGAGAAAGGTTAAGAAAGAAAGCAAAAAAGCGAGAGGGACTTAAGGAGAAAGCTCTCTGTGATCATAATACATCAGCCTGGCAACCAGACAAATCTGCTAGTTCATGTTTTATTGTATTTGCTTTTGCAGAAACGTCTGTTCCCCATCCCATTCAAAGAGATTTCCAGCCATCCTGGCCCCAGTCAGGCCAATCATGACTATTTATCTGTTACAGGGCAGGTTTGGTAGGATGACTGAATATCTGCAGAGACTTCACACTTTATGCAAAACACGCTATGATGTAATTTTTGGCTTTAACACATTCCGTTTTCTGACAACAGAAACAGAAAAAATCTGTAAATGAACAACCGTACTGTGAATTCCATTTCTCAATTAAAACACTGAATTTGTAGCCCGCCTTTGCCTCTGATCTTATCAACGGCCATAGACCAAAACGCCTCTTGACGAAACTGGATAGACCTACAATCATTTAGAGCAACGAAATGTGATGTAGCACACACATGTGCTTCCATTTTTGCCATCAGAATTTGATCATAGCACTGCAACATAAAGTTCCACACCAGCTGCAGCTATGCTGGTTGTTTTAAAAATGCCTCATCAGTGCTTTTCCTTAGGTTTATGCTTGTTGTAGCATGCCTGGTGCCAGTGTGTGCAAGCCAAAAATGAAATAATTTAGATATTATGCACAAGTACTAAGACTCCACAAGTCAGTCATATCAAACCCACTCCATATCAGATAAATGGCTGTGATTGGCCGGACCCAGGCCAGGATGGCTGGAAATCTGTTTAAACTGTTGAGGAACCAGACGTATCTGCCTTTTTTGTTTGTTCTGTCTGACAGTGTTGTAGCTCAGCAGCTTGGTGATGACTGTTGGTCAACACTGTGTTGATAGATTTACTGTATTTACATACTCATTCTGTTAACTGACAACAGAGACATAAAAATCTGTAAATAACAACTATACCATGAAAACTGCATTCTAATAAAAACAGCTGTGCGTCAGCAATATTGCCAATTAAAATTAGTTATGAGAGATATCTAAAGACGATGACAACAACAGCAACAAAAAATCAGATCAAGTCTAAAATCTTTCTTGCCCCCAAGCAACTCTGTTTGCAACTTCAAAAGGACAAAAATTTAAGACAGGAGACAAAGATACATACATTTAAAAACGTTCAAGACTCTTCAACATGCATTTGATTTGAGATTAAGCTCCATATTTAGTTTTTTTTCACACAAGTGCTTCAGTCTAACCCTATTAAAATGTGGGACCCTGTATCTTCAGCAGTAGTTCATAGTAACTGTTCAGGACATGACTGGGGTCAGAGACAATGTTTTTGGCCAGCCTTGATATGCTGTTATGGTAGGCAGATGACAAATGTACAGCCACAAAGCATCAGTTACCACATTTAAAGGAGATGCAGGCATGCTTTGTGTTGCTTGCTAAATATATATATATATATATAAAACACATAACAAATGTAGGTGCTGAAGACCAGCAGACCAGCCAGAACATGACACAGTCACATCTGGTGGACATAAAGCGTGAGATGGCCTGACACTAGATACGTATATATAACGTTCAGATCCCCGTCTATTCCAACATAACTTTTCCAGGATGTGTACATCTGTGATTACTGTCATCTGACTCCACCCAAGTGTTCAGACTTATTTGATGGGATGTCTAGAAGCCAACCACAGTGTTATACATCATCTGGAGTTCACTGCATTAGAGCCACGCCCCCTTTTTAAACAAGACAGTGACAGTGAGGTGAGGTGGAAGTGCAGGCCTGTTTCAGTCAAGTACATCATATGTGTTTAAAGTAAACATGAGATGTCCTATTATTTATACAGGTGAAAAAATCATATGAAAGAATTAAAACCTTTACTCATGAATTTTTCAAAAATGTCCGTCCACTGGAATGGACAGTGGACCTAAATGTCACTGGAAAATGAAAAGGGGAAATACTGCTCTAATTTGATTTTCTAATAATGAAATCAGTTGCCATAATGCATTTTATTGATTATGTCTACAGAATATTCATCTCAGGAGGTTTTCAATGTACTGTTTTCTGGAGATAGTTCAGAAATTAAGGATACTTTGAGTCGTGATGATGAATGCAGTGTAAAACATACATGCAATGAGTTTTAAACATTGCTTTGTTCAGGGACACAAGTTAACCATTCATGGAAAACAAATAATCTCATGTTTTTTGTTGAGAAAAAGGTCTGTTAAGATCATTTATTGCCATTTTTCCTATACTGTAATTTCTGCGTTGAGATTCTTAGTCCACTGGAATGGAAAAAAATATATATAATTAAGTATCCTAATTTTTTTTCTGATAATTAGTGCACTTAGAGTAGAAATCAACCATTACAATATTTTTTTGTGTTTGGAACATAATTGGATTCTGAACGGGTTAATTAAAAGTCAGTAATACTGCAGTACTTTTTATTCCATTATAATTAATCAAACACCTTCATTATTTTAGGAGAAAACTGTATTTTGACACAGTTGAGCAAAACACGTTCAGACCTATCCTGCCATTTTCCCCCGTTAATGTACAAATTTATGCAGCAAAGTGCTCCACAATCTAATCAAATCATCTGCACTATGGATCAAACCTTTGACTTAAGAATGAACCTTGACTTGTTCTTTAGTAATTAAACCCCACAAATGTGACTTTGACCTTCTGCAAGTGGATTTTTTTTCACCACCACCCATTTGTGATTTTGTGTCTCATCATGACATCACATGTGCTGTAATGGGCCTGGAAAGATGAGTTTTAATACAGGTCAGGCAAGCTGGTAATGGTGCACCAACATAGTTTGTTACACCTGCCAGTCACATTTTGATATAAACTCTTCAACCAGCAGACATGTTTTCACGTCCACACTTAATCATGTTTTCATGGGATTAGGGTAATAATGACTGTACTGAACAACTGGATTAAAAAAGCTTATTCTTACAATACTACCTCGTACATTCTGAGGCCATGATGTTTGGGTTAGGATATGTATTTTTCTTGTTCTAGCAGATAACGGGCTCAACAGACATGTTGCAGTTTGGTGGTGATATTTCCTGCGATACCACCTTTGACAGTATATCATTCTCAGGTATTGAAAACATTAACAGAAAATGTAAGGTGTGAATATCATCGTCTGAAATCAAAGTGTCTGCCCACGCCATTTTTCACCCATCACACAGGGAGAAAGGGAGCACAAATACCCTTTTCTCCAGTCAGAGTGGCCTCAATAGACCATGACACAATGTAGCAGCATGTTGCAGGAGCTCTGCCATTGTCATGAATTCACAGTTGCAACTATGATAGAAGGTAAAAGGCTTCTTTTGAAAGCCTCTTTTCTAATGTCCTGACTCCCACCTTTGACTAAAAGCAAAAGTTCAGGCCAGTTCACAGAGTCAAAATCATGGTATTAAAGATTCTATGTGTTTACTCTGCCTGTTTGTGCTTTCTGGAAGCATAGTACGAGTAGTAAATATCCGCAGAGGGTGCTGATTAGTAAAGGCAAGTAAACAAGCCAAGGTACACATCCAGGCTGCATCCAAAATCACAGGAGCGGGTCAAGGCTTATTTTTTATGTTGTTTGTCCAGTGTCTTATTAAGCTCTCATACATTAATAATAATAATAATAAATAATAACACATTTTATTCAAAAGGCGCC